AGCTGACCTGAACAAAGGGGAGCTCATGGACCCCAGACTGATAGCTGAGAAACCAGCATAGGACTGATCCAGACCCCCTGATCATGGGTGTCAGTTAGAAGGCCTGGTCAATCTATGGGGCCTCTGGCAATGTATCAGTGTTTATCCCTAGTATGTGAATGGAATTTGGGAGCCCTCTCCACATAGAGGGATACTCTCTCAGCCTAGAGACATGGGGTAGGGCCTAGGCACTGCTCCAAATGATATGACAGACTTTGAAGAGCCCCCCCTGGATGGCCTCATTCTCCCTGGGGAGCAGAAAGGGGTTGGGATGGGGGGGGGTCTTTGGGGGAACAGGAGAGGAGGGGAGGGAACTGGGATTGACATGTAAAAGAAGCTTGTTTCTAATTTAAAATTGGTCTAATTACAATTGTAAAAATAAAAAATAAAATTTTTTTAAAAAGTAAAAAAAAAAAAAGCACTGCACCCACTGAAAGTCTTCCTACTGCACACCCTTCGGCACCGTGGGGGCAGCCACAGGCTGTTAGAAACATGAGACCCTGTGTGCCTGACCTTTGGCTTACAGCTCTGCTGTTCTCTAGACCGTCCGACTACCTTCAAATGCTCAAGAAGCACTGGATTATTTGCATTCACACAAACCCCCAATTTAAATGTCTTATCTTTTTGTTACCATTTATCTCATTGATCTTAAGGTTATATTGGCCTTCACCTGTATCATCCAGAGAATCCACTTCCACCTACATGCTCAGCCCCGTCAGTACACAGCATGGACCAAACTGCAAACTTGCATGTACTGAACCACCGGTGGTTCTCCCAAACAAAAGAATCCAACCCTGAGAATACTCTCCCAGCAGAAGGGCCACCTCTGTGCCCTCTGTGCATTGCAGACTGGAAGGCACAAGGCTTCCCATGCTGTGATTAAGGCTAGAATCCCCAGCCTTGAGGCAAAACAAGTATCCAGCAACCCACAAGCAAAACTGAAAGTAAAGTAAAGTAAAGAGGTGGATGTCCTGGGTTACAACTCTGGTTTTAATTCCATGGAATTTTGGTGTTGTGGGAGCTGCTGACAGTCTTAGAGGACTCAGTTAAAAGAAGGTGCTCACAAGAAAGTCCTGCAACAACACACAGGGTTCCATCCAGGCAGCAGACTCTCCCCTCCCTTCCACTAACCAGCCTTCCCACTCAGACTATCCTAACAACAAACAGACCTCAAAATAAAGTGGCAGCCAGCCTCACCATTTTCCAGCCCACACACATCCACACACCAGAGTCCTACTAATAATTGTCTTCCCAGTCTCCACACAGAGGGTTCTTCTGTCTGCCACCCAGGGGGGGGGTCTTCATTCTGTCCTTTGAGAACAAAACCAGTAAGTTTGGATCTGTGGAGATCCCACATGCATCCCTTTAATCTACTGTGCACACTGTCCTCGCTGGCTGTGCTTCTGGACATACTGACGTGAGCTCCAAGGTTAAGCCATGCCAGGAGACCTCTTTCAGGAGGGAATTCCTGTGAGAGCCAAAGGCATGAATTCCAACCTATCTTACATGGTGGATTTTTTAGTTGTTTCACTCTCATAAGTGTGGAAGTTCTACTGCTCTAAAAACAAAAACAAAAAAAACATATATGTATGGGTGTTCTACCTACCTGCCTACACACAGACACACACACACACACACACACACACACACACACACATGTCTGGCATGTGCATGTCTGGTAATCATGGATGCAGAAGTAGAGAGCGCTGGATACCCTGGAAGTGGAGTCACAGACAGTTGACCTGTCATGTAGATATTAGGAACCAAACCTAGGTCTTCTGCAAGAGCAGCCAGTGCTCTTGACTACTGAACCATCTCTCCAGCTCCTCTTTGACTAGCTTTGTATAAGACTATTTAGAGTTGTAATTATAGTGCCTGGCCCTCAGTTCTATCACCAGTGCTTAGAATAAGAGAGAAAGAAAGAAAGAAAGAAAGAAAGAAAGAAAGAAAGAAAGAAAGAAAGAAAGAAAGAAAGAAAGAAAGAGGAAGGAGGGAAATAGAGAACCAAATGGTATATTGTATTAAGTAAACTTTTAAAATGTAATGAATTCTCTCACTTCATAAGACAAGCGATAGCCTAAGGTGCATATTCAAATTTTAATTTCTTCTTGAGCACCACCCAAACATGGCAGGGGCTACAGGTAGAGATAATTAGAGGTTGGGCAAAATGCTTCTACATGTTGTAGAGTCACATTGCCCCCTAAAATAATCTACCAAGTCTATCTATCCCATGTGCCTTATTTAAGCAAATGCCACTTACAATACATCTCCACTGAAGCATTCCTGTGAGGACGGATGTGCAGACACTGAGCAGGGACATGGCTAGCTCAACAACGAGGACAAACACTTCCAGGCTGTTATGTCCAGTCAGTCTCCAGGCTGAAGGTGAGCAGCTGCTCGCCCATTAGACCCCACCCTTCATTGTATCATAGCTTTGGATTTATTTAGTATCAGTCGCATCTGTTTGGGGCACCAGGCTACGCAGATACAAAGTGTCTTCCTGCCCTTGTCTGAACCTGTGTCCAGGAATCTGATGATTATGTCCTGTCACTGGATTATTTGATGGTCGTGGCTCAGGAGAGATTTTTTTCAAAAGTCAGTAGCTTGCTGAGTCAACTGGCTGATGCCAATGAAATGGCTATTTGGTATCTACTAACACAGACTAAACACACCCCAGTCACCCAGAGGACACTTCTTACAGCTCTCATCATCTTGACGGATTCACATCTCATGATCTGCAAAGTTTCTAGGAGAGAGAAGCCATGTACTCCCACCAAGTTCATGTGTGGTGGCTAGGGACAGCTGTGCTTTGTTCTGTGCGGAGGAACAGGGTTACATTCGAACAGGGTTACATTCTTTTCTTACAGATGTTAGATCTACTACGTTTTGTAACAGTAACAATTATTGTCAGAGAAACTTCAAAAGAAGATAGATTTACAGCCAAGCGGAATATGGGTGACTAGATCAGTATCCTATGTCTAACTTCTCCAAAGACAGCAGGAAGTTCACATTTTACTCGTAGTTAGAAAATACAAAGACAATTTCTCATGTTGACATTTACAGGTGAAAACACAGATCATGGGGTTCTTGCAACCTCCTAATCTACCCCCCAAAAAATCTTCCCAGTTTGTACCACAGCTCTTTCTGACAATGTGCTGATATGTATTTTGATTGTACACCAAATAAACTGAAACCATTTTTTAATGCACCTATTCTAGGGCTGGGAGGGAAGATGATTCTGTGGGTATGACTAGAGTCTGGCTCACCAGATAATGTGTTGAGCAGGTGTGGTGGTCATGGTAACCCAAGTGCTTGGGAGGCATAGGGGGAGATCCCTGGAGCCAGCAGCAAGCTCAACTAACCAAATAAGAGAGCTCTGGGTTCCAATGAGAGACCTTGCCTCATACACAAGGTGAAACATGATCAAAGGAGCCTCTAGCCTTGTGTTTTAAGGGCCTCTATCTATGCTCTGGACCATAGGGCTGGACTTCTGGCTCCTGAGGGTTGTGATAGGTTGGGAAACTGTTTGCCTTTAAAGCCATGCTGGTCCAGTGAAGTATTTATTCTGGGAGCTTCATTTCCCTCTTCTTGGCCACCTACACCTCATTCCTCAACCAAGGCAGTAAATGTCTAAAATTGGTGCTGGTTCTGGTAAACATGGTGATGACATCAGCCTGAGTTCCAGCTCCTGGAGAAGAACCGTGACCACTCGGTCACTGGTGGCCAGTTAGGTCCCAGCAGCCCTGTCTGGTCTGCACACCCCCAGGACAGTCACCATGGGGTTCTCAAAGGCTTGCTTGCTTTGTCACGATCAGGGATCAGGGGAGGGTGAAGGAAAAGAAACACACACACACATACACACACACACACACACACACACACACACACACACACACACACACACACACACCTGTTTCGAGGGAGAACTAACCTCAGATCGCACGGCAACATGCTGCCTTTGACTTCACTCAACTGTACACGCGAAATGGTTGACATGCTAACTTTTGTTAAATGCTGTGTGTATGTGTGTATGTAATGGGCGGCAACTGCCCACACCGCGGGGCTGCTGCTCTGAACATCTATTAAGCTTGACTGCATGCCTCCTTAGTAAAGCATCCACTCCTTGTGAATTAGCAAACCACACTTAACCACAGAAGTTTCTAGCTGCAAGTGTCACAGACGAAAACCTCAAAAACACCATGTGAGAGTGGGGGATAGGGATGGTGCGGAAGCGCTGCTTCCTCTGGGTAGTTCCTTGAGGGATGGTGTGGGGAGCCAGGGACTGAGGCACCCTTACCTCCTGTCTCTGGAATTGCATAGACTTGCCCCTATGGAGGGCAACAAGAGGACTCCAGTAGATCGCTCGCCAAAGGGCGGTGCTGTTACTGTGGAGTGTGCCACTGCGCTGAGAGTCATCCACTGTGGTGTACCCACAATCTACTTACGGGCTGTCCAGGGACTGAAGCAACTGCGTCCCGGCTCTTCCCAACAGACAGTAGCTAGCTGAGGACATTTCTGTCCCTACCTGGCCATCAAGGTGCCAAGGTTAGCTGCAGAGTGAAGGGGCCTCTGAGTGGCTGAAACCTTAAGAGCTGAGACCTGTCAGGCTCCTGGGTACCGAACTTTCATAGCAGAATATCAAGCTCGGGAATAGAAATAAAACTCTGGATAGAGTTGTCAACATATCTGCTCATCACACAGGGGCAAGCGTCAATCTGTTCTGGCTCTGAGCCACCCTGTCGACCTCTGCGCCCAGGTTATCCGCAATTTCACGTGCTCCTGGCAGGCCTGGGCGGCTGGCACTTGCAAGCTCCACAAGCAGCTGGAGGCTGCAACCCGAAGCTGAAGCTGCAGAGCACCGGCCTGCCCCGCACTTGGGTGGGGGGAGTGGGGGTGCCAGACTTTCCAGAAAGTTTCCATTTACCGCTCGCTACAAATGCCCCACCCTCACCAGTACTTACCAATAGCGGAGACCAGCAGACAGACAGCACACACATGATCCCCATGAGCTGGATGGCGGTCTCAGTGGTGATCCGGCCCCACTGGGCGCTGGACTGCGAGGCGGCGGCCTTGGCCCGGCAGCGGGACACTAGGGCTTTGATGGTCGCCAGGTTGCATGCAAAAGTGACCACCAGAGCCAGCAGCCCCAGGCAGGCGAAGGCGGTGGCAAAGGCTACGCTGCCCGGCTCTCGCGCAGGGTCGGTCTCGTTGCCCGCGGGCCCGGTGCTGATGAAGCACCACGTGCCGGGCCACTGCACGCTGTATCGGCCCACCCCCAGCACCGGCAGCAGGGGGAAAGGCAGCACAGCCA